TGGAAACTGGCTTCACTGCCCAGTGTTATTTTCTTGAATCGTACTTTATGTCCATCTTGATTTTTCCCTGTCTTCTTCTTCATTTAGTCTCAGATATCGGCTGCAATTAATCATGCCAGGATATATGCAGATTCTCATCTGATTAGCTCCAGCTCCATCATGTGTCTAGAATGAGTTTTACAGTTTCCAAAAGTTCCTTCCACTTCCACTTTATTGCTGCTGTGACCTTGGATAAGAAGAAGTGTATCTGCTATTATGTATATGTTTTATTTGAAAGACAGAGTTTTACACAGAGAGAGAGACAGAGAGACAGAGAAAGGGAGATCTTCCACTCACTTCCCAAATGTCTGCAACACCCGAGACTGGGCTAGACTAAAGCCAGGAGGTAAGAACTCTGACTGGGTCCCAGATGGGTGGAAGGGGTACAAGCACTTGGGCTGTCATTCACTGCCTCCCAGGTTGTATTAACAAGAAACCAGACTGAAAGTGAAGTAGCAAAGACTTGAAGCAAGCACTGCAACATGGGAGGCAGATGTGCCCAGAGGCAACTTAGCCTACTGTGCTACAGTGTCCACCCTGAAAATCTATTTCTGAGACTACAATAAAATAGATGCAGATCAGGAAGACTTAAAAGGTGAGGAAGGTGGGTAGGTGTTTTTTTTTTTTTAAGATTTATTTATTTATTTTTATTGGAAAGTGAGATATTACAGAGAAAATGAGAGACAGAGAGGAAGACCTTCTGTCTGATGATTCACTCCCCAAGTGGCCACAATGGCCAGAACTGAGCTGATCTGAAGTCAGGAGTTAGGAGCCTCTTCTGGGTCTCCCATGTGGATGCAGGGTCCTAAGGCCTTGGGCTGTCCTCTACTGCTTGCTCAGGCCACTAGTAGGGATCTAGAAGGGAAGAAGAGCAGCTGGGATATGAACCAGTGCCCATATGGGACCCCAGAGGATGTGCAGAGAAGATTTAGGCATTAGGCTATTGTGTTGGGCTCAAAATGTAAAAAGTTTTAAAAACACAATTTAGCCAAAAGCTTATGGTGATCTTCTAATTTATCACCCAATCAGCTTTTTGGGAACTAAATGAGGGATACAATTAATAAGTTCCCTGGGATAGAAACATAAACTAGGTCTTTCCAGCTTTACCAGGATTGATGGTCATTGCAGCCCAAACTGACAATGCACCTATGGTCAGGAGAGAGCAGGGCGGGGCTTGGCCAGGCGCTTCATGAAATTATAGTCTATGTTTTATGATCACACATCACACTCCATACTCACACTGTGAACTAATAGGTTCCGAGTCTATACCTTTATTTCTTTAAAATATTTATTTATTTGAAAAACAATTGCACAGAGATTTGCATCTGCTGGTGCACTCCGCAAATGGCCACAATGATCAGATCTGGGTTGGTCTAAAGCCAGGAAAGAGGAGCCAAGAGCTCCTCCTGGGTCTACCAGACGGGTGCAAGAGGTCAAGCACTTGGGTCATCCTCTGTTGCTTTCCCAGCTCATTAGCATGAACCTGAATCGGCAGTGTAGCAGCTGAGACTTGAACCAGCGTCCACATGAGCTGCTGACACCACACATGGAGGCTTAACCGACTGCGCTGTTGGTCCCAGAGTGTGCACCTTTAAAGCATCAGACTCAGTCCCAATCTAGATCTCTCAATAAAAACCAAGCATAGAGATGAAGACTCAAAAAAGTCGAACCCAGAGCTACAGCTCCCATCACTTTGGTAGTTGCGGCCTCTTTGAGAATCTGAAGAAAGTGCTTGACTGACGGAAGGAAAAAGGCACACACACCACAACACCTATGACTTGGTGTGCAACCCAGGGGGCCACTGTCCACCTGACCTTCCCAGGGGCTCCAGGTCTTAATTCTTGGACCAGACCACATGGTATAGGTAGAAGGACAAATAATTCCACATTTGTGGACCACTGTTAAATCCACTTCATTTTATAGGCTCGTCCACCTATTTTATAGAAAAGGAAACAAAGCTCAGAGAAATTAAAGCCTTACGGGCAGTGAAGAGAAAACCCAGGCTGTGCTGCACAAGTGGCATACTAGTCAAAGCATCACTTGGGATACTGACAGGTTATATCCGAGTGCCTAGCCCTGCTCGTGTGCACCCCAGGAGGCAGCAGGGGAAGGTGACAGTGGCTGGATCCCACCACGGCGGTGACACACTTGGACCGAGTTTCCCTGCTTTGGCTTCCGTTTGACCCAGCCTCAGCTGCTGCAGGCACACGGGAAGATGGGAAATCTCCGTTTGTGACTTTCATAAAAACAAAAAGCCTTCCAATTTAGGTTGACATATGACTGAGTCTCATAACCTGAGCAATAACTTAAACACCCATCCCCCCCCACACACACACTATTTCAATCTGGAAAGGGAACACAGTACAAAAACGTGAAAAGGGAACATAAACGTATACCTTTACCAAAGCCCTGTCTATATGGCTCCTGTGCAGCTGTTTAAGCTGACATCTGCATCCCATATGATCACCAGTTCGAATCCTGCTCCACCTCTGACCCAGCTTTCTGCTCACACACCTGGGAAAGCAAGAGAAGATGGTCCTAGTCATTGGGTCTCTGCCACCCACGTGGGAGACTCAGACAGGGCCCGGGCTCCAGCCTGGCATGACAGACTAGGCAATGCGTCATTTCCAACCTAAGTAGCTTCTTAGAAACTACCAAGAAGGTAGTTACTACTAGTGAATCCAATTTTCTTTTAAGGTTTAATGGTTTTTTTAAAAAATATTTTTATTTGAAAGGCAAAGTTACAGAGAGAGGAGGAGGAGGTTGACTCTTCCATCTGCTGGTTCTCTCGCCAAATGACTGCAACGACCACAGCTGGGCTGGTCTGAAACCAGGAGCTTTCTCCAGGTCTCCCATGTGCATGCAGGAGCCCAGGCATTGGTCCATCCTCCACCGCTTTCCCAGGCCAGTAGCAGGGAGCTGGATTAGCAGTAGAGCAACTGAGACATGAATCGGTGCTCCTATGGGATGCTGGCACTGCGAGCAGGGGCTTAACTCACTAAGCCATGGTTCCAGCACCTCAAATTTCTTTTTTGGTAAGTTAAATTTCTCTTTGGCCAAAGCCATGAATCCAGAGTTCCATGTGGGTTTCCCTGGTGGGCGGCAGGGACCTGGGTACTTGAGTCATCACTCACCCCAGATTCCTCATAGACAGGAAGCCAGAATCAGAAATGGAGCTGCAACTGTCACCTTGGCGCTGCAGTACGGGATGCGGGCATCCCAAGGCGTGGTTATACCATGCCCTAGCTGCCATTCCCCTCAGAAGCACAGAGAACCCAGTGAAGCATGTCTGCACGCATCTGGACCATATCTAGCACAGTTCCAGTGCCTGCCAGGTACAGCAGCCAGCTGCCTGGCCTCAGCTAGCACGCCACATTCAGCGATTGCTTGTACAAAACCACTGTCCTTCTCATTCTGTTTGTTTCTCCCCTGTAACGATTTAATTGATCATTTTCCCCGACTCCACACACCCTCTGAAATTACAGGTTTAGGGAGGACAAAGATGGGCCATATCCACAGGGTCAAGCTGTGCACTTCTCTTAATGGCCTAATGGCATGAATCATCGATTATTAGCATAATCATTTGGACAATATGATTTTCTTCCCCTTTCAAAACTTGAGACACAATCCACATACCCTAAGATCTACACTTTTAGAATCAGGGGTACTTAGTATATTTACAGTTTTACACAATTCTCTGATTCTGAAATATTTGCATTACCTCTATAAGAACACCCACTAAGAGTTAGTTACTCCCTTCTTGGCTCTTTCAGGTTCCTGGAAAACCACTCATCTGCTCGCTGTTGTCATATCTGCAGCTTTTGCAGGAAGGCAGTTATGCTGTGGCCTTACTGTTGCACCTGGCTCCTTTCGCTCCAGGGTGTTTGCAGGGTGTGTGTCCTGTCAGTCAGTGCCAGGACCTCTCTTCCCAAGCAGGAAGCACACTCAGTTGCGCGGATGCACTGTGCTTTTCTCCCACCACCATTCCTCATACTCTTTTCAGATCTACAATCCTGCATTCAAGCCAAGGACTGCAAGGAACTTGAGGAAGTAAAGTCCTTCCTTGCTTCCCAGCTTCTCTACGCTCTGAAGTGCTCGCAACTCATCTCTTACAGATCCCAGAGCCACCTGGGCATGACCCACCAAATCTGCTCCCTCCTCCCAAGGATCAAGTCAGACCTCCTATCTTGACCCCAGGAGTCCACCCAACCCCCTCAACTTCTCAGGGTCCACCTGATTTCCTGAAACTTGACACTCCGGAATAAGGCACTATCCCAGGTCCGTTTCCAAAAGATTCCTGGAGGGCGAGGGTGTGGGGAGCAGGAATTCTTCCCACACGGATCCTTTTCCTTCGGCTAGCTGCACGTGCAACATCCCCGCCAACAAAATATTTAAAAACAAACAAACAAAAAAGCCCACCTCGCTTTGTTTTCCACGGAAGTTCAGGTAAAAGGAAGGGTTGATGGATGGGGGGAGGGGAAGGCGGTGTGTGCTTATTTTTAACTTGCCTCACGGTCCAGACTTCGGAAAGGAAAAGAATTTCCTTTGGGCTGCTGCCACCACTCTGATTCTTGATGCTGATAAAATATTTCCTCAAAAAAAAAAAAAAGTCTAGGAATATTGTGCCATTTCAACTTGGGCTGTAACTGTAACTTTTGAAAAAAAGAGTTGTTTTTAAGCAAAGAAGGCCATTATCCATGTCCAGCAGGAGGGGTTTAATTCTTCTCCACAGAGGGTTTCCCGGTCCGTTGCCCCCAGGAGCGAGCCGGGTCCGCAGCGTTCCAGGCGGGCTGGCGGGGCGCACGGCCGGACTACAGGATCCAGAGGGCTTTGGAAACTCCAGCAGCCGCACGCCCGTTGGCTACCGCCGGCTCCCTGAGGAGTGACGCCGCCAAAACAAGCCCTGATTGGCCGCGCTGGAGCTGAATTCTCCATTTATGGACAGATTGCCCGGGCCGAGCCGAGGCTTCACCACAAGAGTACACGGATTAAGTCGGGGGAAGAAAGAGGAGTGAGGCCGGGCAGCCGGGCAGCCGCGCCGAGCGCCTCGGGTTCCGTTTAGCCGTGCGCCTGTCGCCGGGTCTCCGTGGACCCCCCCAGTTCTCTCTCTGCCAGCATGCGCCCCGCCTGCTAGGGCGCCCCCGGCTTTTCCCTCACCTAGCGCCGCCGAGCCCGCCTGGATGCAGTCCCCGCCGGGTTCCCATTGGCTCCTCTGAGTGCTTGGGTGTCGGGAGCCTGTTTTTGGCCACGGGAACCAACTTTTGAAGTTTCGCCTAGGAGACTGCTGCGTTCCTGCGCCAGCTTCCCGGCAGCCGGACCGGCGGAGGCGCGACCGCGACGCGAGTCACCATGGTGAGTTGGCCGCGCCGCGTCCCGGGACGCCCGGCCCTGGCACCGGCAGGAAGCCCCGGAGCGCGGTACCCACCTTGGGCGCGCTGCCCGGGACCCCCGTGCCGAGAAGGTGGACGCGGGAACCGGCACGTCTCGGGCTCTCTGCCTCTCTCCCAAACTCGGGACTCGCGGACAGGGAGTGAAGGGCCAAGGAAAACTTTTCCTTCAAGTCGTTTGCTGCGTCGCACAACTTTCTGTGTCCGGGTTGGCGATGGCTGCCAGCTGTCTGCAGCCGGAGCGTGGGCACCTCTGGTTCCCGGGGCACGGCTGTCGGACGGGATCCCCTTGTGGCTGCAGGGAATGTACAGTCTCGGCCGGGCTCCGTGAGGTTCGCTCACCCTCTCCCCCGCGGCGAGCACCCTCGCGGGCTGCCTACTGTCCTCTCCGCCTGGCAGGGTGGCCCGGCAGAGCCCGCAGCAGCTGTCCTGCCTGGCACCCACCCGCCAACCGGAGGCGGCCCAGCCTGCCGGGGCGAGGGACAAGCGTGGCCGCACAAAGACGCGCGGCTAGGCGCCAGGTAGCGCGATCACCTGGCGGTGGGCAGGCTTGCTGAGAGCCAAAGTGACCCGGAGCAAACCAGGGCCACACCGGCCCGGGGTCCGTGGAGTGGACGCAGGTCCCTCGGGGGCTTGGTACCGGGGAGACCGAGTAAACACCTCCTGTGGGAGGACCCCAGCCCTGCCCCACAGTGCGAGGTGTCCGCGAGGACCCGGCTAGCAGCTCGCGGCTTGCGCTGGAGGGAGCCCTCGCCGGTGTGCAGCAGCGGCTGTGCCTACCCCCTTGGCGGTCCGGAATCTGGGGATTGGCAGCTGGCTTTCACCAGCTCGGCGGTGACTTCCCAGCTCCCCAGCCCGACCACGCGCCCCCTCCCTGCCGGGAATTCGAGCTGCCTCCCCTGGGCTTTGGTGTGGTGCACTTGGCGAGACACAAAATGCCAGGACCCTGGAGGAGATGGACAGTCCGTCAGGGAAAACAAGGGAGAAGTTCAACTTGAAGGCTTTGGGCTTTCCGTGCTTGCTGCTTCTTCAGTAATCCTAATTAGGTGGCCGAACTCAAGCTCACGGGGTTGTTGCTGGGAGCTGGGAGTTAGCTGTGTCAAAATGATACCCACCTCATTTTGGAAAAAAATCTATATCCGGAAGGGCACAGAGTTTAAGTTAAGGAAAAAGAAAAAACGAAAAACAAAAAACTTCTTGACCCAAACTTTTGCTTTCTTACCTGGTCCCAAATTACATCACCCCAATTGAAGAGAAAAAAACCTGCCTGTGGGTACATCTCCTTTTTCAGTTTTGAGGTTTTAAGAGTAAAACAGCGGACAGAAGGTCCTTCTCTCTGTAAATCTACCTTTCCAATAAAGATAAATCTTGAGAAAGGTCAGTCAGCCCACAGCACATTCGTGTGGCACCCCTGTGGAGTGCCATTTACAATGATCGGGGTTTGGTGGCACTACCTAATCATGAGGCACTTGGGTTTCAGCAATGTGATAGTCCTCCTGATTTAGAATTGCTGTAATTATTTTCCGTGGCTCAATATTTCTAAAAAAAAAAAAATCTATGTGTTGATGTCAGGAGCTTCAAGGATCTTACTGAATGTTAACTAAGTAGTGCCTTAGGAAAATGAACTTTCCTCACAAAAGGGCTTCCCCCCACCCCTCCCTCCACCCGGGGCTGGGCAAGAAGAAAGGGTATCTTTTGGAAGGGAGGGAACTTCAGGAACTCGGTGCTGGGTTTAGCAGCGGTTGAAGTAGGCGGTGGGTCAGGTGGAGGCGAAGGAGGAGGTTCCAGGAGCAAGGTCAGGGTGTGATTCCCTGTGGTTGGGCTGTCTGCCACGGGCAGAGATGGGCAGGTTGTGGGCCGCCAGGGGACTCTGTGCATCAGATAGGGTGTCTGTGGCCACTGGCCGGAGAGTGGAACCGACTGGGCTGTCCTGAAATGGGAGAAGTGCCCTGGATAGATCCACCGGCTCCAGTGTAACTTGGCCAAAACGGGACGAATCGCTTCTGCCCTGGTGTGAATTGTGAGGTCTGTTTGTGAGCCTAGCTGATACTTGCCTTAGAGCGTCAGCAATCCGAAGCCGCAGTGCTAATAGGTAACGTCAGAATCGGTGCGGGCGGATGCTGCTTCCCTCCCTGTGCTGTCTGGGCCTGCCCAGTGGTGTCCCTTAGCTGCTAAGAGCCGGAAGGGAAGGGACCTGATTGTCAGTGGGTGTGGCTGAGAGTGAGTGAGCGTCACAGGTCCTTGGCCGGGCAGGAGGGAGGGCACCTGTCCTGTGGCCTGGTGTGTGTGTGTGTGTGTGTGTGTGTGTGTGTAGAGGGTACAGAAACCTGGTAATACATTAACAAGGTTCTCTGCTTGTCCCCAAAGCCTCCCCAGACTCTCTGCTGTGACTCATAGGAAGACTGTCGTTTTCTGACTCAGGAACACAGTATACAGTTTGCAGTTCATCTCATGACTTCCTCCTGAAAACTGACTCTGGGACACTCCATCCTGGGAAAGCCAAGCACACCCCCACGCAGAAGTTACTTGCATGTTTTCTATAGGAGACTTGAAGAAGTAAATTAAAAAAAAGCAATACACTAATGAATGTAACTTAATAATGTGCAAAAAGTCTCCTTTGGCTTTTGAAAAAATATGTTTCCTTAAAGATTTATTAATTTTCTTAATGCAAAGTCAGATATACAGAGGAGGAGAGACAGAGAGGAAGATCTTCCATCCGATGATTCACTCCCCAAGTAACCGCAATGGCTGGAGCTGAGCCGAGCTGAAGACAGGAACCAGGAGCCTCTTCCGGATCTCCCACATGGGTGCAGGGTCCCAAGGCTTTGGGCCGCCCTTCACTGCTTTCCCAGGCCACAAGTATGGAGCTGATGGGAAGCGGGGCCATCGGGATTAGAACCGGTGCCCACATGGGATCCTGGCGCATTCAAGGTGAGGACTTTAGCCACTAGGCTACTGCGCTCGGCCCTAACAATATTTTATTAAGTATTTATTTGAAAAGCAGAGTCAGAAAGAGAGAGGTCTTCTACCCACTGGTTCACTCCTCAAGTGGCCACAGTGACTGTAACTGGGCCAAGATCTTCTTCTAGGTCTCCCATGTGGGTGGCAGGAGCCCAGGTATACCTCAGCCGTTCTCCACTGCTCTCCCAGGCACATTAACAGGGGACTGGGGTTGGAAGTGGAACAGCCATAACTCCAACTAGTGTGTTTATGGGATGCCCGTGTCCCGGATGATGGCTTCCTCCTCTGAGCCGTGATGCTAGTGACTTTAATTAACAGTAATACAGATTTGAGATATCCTCAGCAGGATCTGGTTTTATCCTAATCTGCAAAGAAGTTCTGTTTGTGTGACCATGACCAGTTTGGACTGTCTACAGGACTGAAGCCTGTGTTGGCAGCCTGCTGCATACTACAGGCTCAGAAATTGTGATGCACGTGTGAGCCAAATATGCAGACATGTCGGAGTAGGGGCAGGTACGCTGCTGCAGTGGGTTGAACTCCACCTTGGCATGCCTTCATCCCATATGTGAATTCCAGTTCAGGTCCTGGCACCTCTACTTCCAATCCAGCTTCCTGCTAATATACCCGAAAAAGCAACATGTGATGGCCCAAGTGCTTGGGCCCCTGCCACCCTTATGGGAGACCTGGGTGGAGTGCCTGGCTTTGGCCTGGCTCAGCCCTGACTCAGAAAATCTTCAAGATTTGTTTTTTTTTCCCCTTACTTGTACAGCACTTAGGAGTAACTTGCACATGTTACATGTAAAAATATACAGGAATAGACGTAAGAACTCCATCTCTCTGATGGAGAGCTGACTGGAAGGAAGGCAAATTCCTTTGATAAAGACATGGAATGTATTCAGAAGGTCTGGAATTTAGTTTCAGTTTGTATTCTGGGAAGGTAGCCTTGTTCCTTCCCACTGACTGGTTTACCAGATTGCTAAAAGCTTCCTGGACAAAGCAACATCATGCAACCCAGTAGAACTGGGAAGGAATGGAATAAGGCACAGAAATTCTGGAGGCAGAGGATTAGAGCAAAATCAGGAATCCAGGATGTCAAACTCGGGGCAGGTGTGGTTGGGTCAGCCCAGGGCTTCTAGGGCAGACAGCTGCCAAAGCTGAAGTTTACTGTGCACTGTCGCTCATCAGTGTCTGTGGACTGGATGGAAACCAGAACACAGATGTGTGTGTGTAGGACCAGGCCTCTAGGGGATGACTAAGTAACACACAGTCCAATCAAAGAGGCTGCCAAGGTTATATGGACCATACTATCAAAGTATCTTATTTTTCAAGAGAAGCTGGACACGCAGCTTTTCCTATTAGATCTGACATTGAGAAATATCTGAGCATCACTGAGGATCCAGGCAGACACACCTGTCCGTTGCACGCGGCCACTATTGCGACTCTCAGTGTATTTCCTCGCGTCCACTCGCTGCATCAGTGTCTCCATGGCAGCCACATCCGCCGTGATGAAGTTAGCCATGTACTGACGCATCTATACCTGCCCGCCATGTCTTCCTAAACAGAAGGAGTTGCCTCATATTTTTGGCTCATGGATTCATTTTTTTTTAACTCCATCTTTTTATTACTTATATTAACTTCCTTTGATATGGCTCTTTCATGGATTTTTTCAACTACTAAAATTGGGAAAAAGCTTCAGCTGCTGTTGGGAGCTACCTGAACACTATTGACTGGCAAAACCGCAGACTGAATTTATGCTTATTTGTGAATTCCCTCCTACAGTGAAAAAAATGCTCAGGCCCAAATGGTGCAGGATAAACTTCTTCTTCTTCTTCTTTTTTTTTTTTTTAAGATTTATTTTATTTTCGGGCCCGGCGCGGTGGCGCAAGTGGTTAAAGGTCCTCGCCTTGCACTCCCGGGATCCCATATGGGCGCCGGTTCTAATCCCGGCAGCCCCGCTTCCCTTCCAGCTCCCTGCCTGTGGCCTGGGAAAGCAGTCGAGGACGG